AATAATAATAATAATAATAATAATAATAATAATAATAATAATAATAAGTAGCCCTCAACTTAACAACAGTTTTGCTTAGTTCAAAGTTATGACACTGAAAAAAGTGACTTACAACCGTTTTTCACAGTTACGACCTTTCCAGCTTCCTCATGATCATGTGGTCAAAATTCAGGTGCTTGGCAACTGACTCGTATTTATGACAGTTGCTAGGGCTCAAGATCATGTGATTCCCTTTTGCAACCAAGCAAAGTCAACGGGGAAGCCAGATTCACTTCAACTGGCTTACTAATTTATCAACTGCAGTGATTCACTTAACAATGGCAGCAAAAAAGGTCGTAAGATGGGGTAAAGTTCACTTAACAAATGTCCCACCTAACAACAGAAATTTTGGGCTCAATTGCAGTCGTCATTTGAGGACTACCTGTAATGTTGACTTCAAGATTATTGAAGTATCCCCCTGTTTGCTTTCTCCATCATCTTAATTTGCTGCTGGATTTTAAATGTTCTCCTTGAAGTTGGTGATCGTCTGAATGGGTTTAATCGTAAATATCTGAAGATGATTCAGACGTAATAGTAATGTTCTGGGACTGATGAACATCCTGGCTCTTGTAACAGCAAGTTTACAAAGACATTGAAGATCATGAAAGCAAGATTATTTAACCTCCAGAGGGATGGAGGTTCTGTGATCCAGTCCTTGTGTGTTTGTGCACAATTCTATTTGTTGTGTCTGGGTTTTAAGCCGGAGCAGATGTTGAAATAGAATGACGAAACAGCTGGATGGAAGAACTAAGTCATCTAATTTTCAATTTTATCACAAGAGCCTTCCTCTCTCTCTCTCTTTTTTTAGCTCACTGCAATTCTAAGCAAGAATTGCAACACTTGTTTCCCCATCCCTTAAAAATTGAATAGAATAGAATAGAATTTAGAATAGAACAGAACAGAACAGAATAGAATAAAAGTAGAATGTAGATTAGAATATAGAGAATATAGAGAATAGGTTTGGATAGGATAGGATAGAATTCTATTCTATTCTATTCTATTCTATTCTATTCTATTCTATTCTATTCCATTCCATTCCATTCCATTCCATTCCATTCCATTCACTCTACATTCCTATTTCCATTCAATTCCATTCCATTCCATTTTATATTTTATTTTATTTTTCTTTATTTTTATAATTAAATCCTGTGCCAACGATCTTGCCAAGGCAACTTTAGGCAGCTTACATTTAAGAGCAGGTTGGTCTCATGAAGCTATGGATGGCCTCTGTAACACCAGCGCTGCAGCTAAAAATTTTTTTTGCATTTCAATAAAACAACACTGCGAATATCTTAGATTACATCTTCTAATGTACTTAATGAGCATTGTGATATACATACATACATACTCATTCAGTCTCGTTTTGGTTTGGGGATACTTTATTCTAAAGGCTGGCTGATGTGTAACCATTTGATAGGAACATAAATTGTCATTTTATTGCTGAGTTCACCCAGCTCACTAAGCCATGATTTATAGGTGCCTAAGATAGCTCCGTATTAACAGGCTCTTGGGTTACCTTACACACTGGCTTGTTTCCCGTGTCACACTGTGTCAATATAAGCCAAAATAAGCAAACCAATGGGCTAGTGTTTGAATTTGGCTACACCTTGGGCAATAATCCAAGTTGAAAAATTGATATTTTTCAGGGCCACGTATTTGTTTTGCCGGATGAGATGAAGGTACTCTAAGTTGCAGTTCAGATCTTAGCTTCATTTAGTCTCCCAGAATTAAAGAGGATAATTGATGGCTCCTTTTTTTTAGGAGATCTTGTGAAAATGTAGTGCTGAGAAACAAATGGTACTGTAGACTCTAAAGCAGTGGTGGGATTCAAATTTTTTTACTACCGGTTCTCTAGGCATGGCTTGGTGGGAGTGGCAGGGGAAGGATATACTGTAAAATCCCCATTCCCTCCCCACCCCACTAACCTGCTTTCCAGCTCCGTTCTCCTGTGCAGGGTAACCAAAGAAGAGCCAGCCGATCAGCTGGAACTCAATGGGAGGCAGAGAAGAGATGAGGTTGGTGGGGCCAGTCAGAGGTGGGATTTGCCAGTTCTCCAAACTACTCAAAATTTCTGCTACCGGTTCTCCAGAACTGGTCAGAATCTGCTGAATACCACCTCTGCTCTAAAGGTACTCCTTGACTTACAACAGTTCACTGTTTGCAATTACAGTGGCACCAAAAAAAAAAAAAAGACTTCTGAAGTTTTTCACACTTACAACCGTTGCAGCATCTCTATGGTCACTCTATGATCAAAATTCAGACAGTTGGCCACTGACTTGTATTTATAATGGTTGCAATGTCCCGGAGTCATGTGACTTCATGACAAGCACAAAATCAAAGGGGGTGAGAGATTCACTTAACAATTGTGTTACTAACTTAACAGAACTCCGGTGATTCACGGTAGTGACTAAAATGGGACAAAACTAGGGGTTGGGATTCTACCGGTTCAGATCGGTTCTATAGAACCGGTTGTTCTGATTCTGCCCAGTTTGGAGAACTGGCAAATCATGCCCCTGGCTGGCCCCGCCCCTCTCCATCCACCCCTCTCCTCCCCTCCCAGTCAGTCCTTATTGCGCACGCATGTTCTGATGATCAGCTATGCCGGGACCCCCCTCGCTGTCTTACTGCTTCGCCCAGGAGGCAAAAAGGGGCATGCGGGGTGTGTGTGTGCTGCCCTCCCACCATGCACCCCGTTTCTTTTGCTTTCCTGGGAGCAAAAACGCCCCCCAGGAGATTAGCATGAGGCCCAGGAGGCAAAAAAGGGGGATGCTACAAAAAAAAACAAGCCATGCCCACCCAATCACATGGCCATGCCCACCTAGCCATGCCCACAGAACTGGTTGTTAAAAAATTTGAATCCCACCCCTGGACAAAACTCAATAACTCTCACTTAACAACAGAAATTCGGGGGTCCCTTGTCGTCGTAAGTGCAGGACCGCCTGTGTTGTGAAAGCTTCGCAGATCAGTTTTATTCCTGATTCATTAATTAGGCCTTGGGAGGTCGACTTCTTTTCTTTGTTCATGTGATTATATATTTATATTGTTAAAAATAAACTCAAATGAAAAACAACAGCATGGTGAAGTGGATTGGGACGGTTCTTTTGAAAAATTATAACCTGCCTGTTCTCTCCTTGAACCTCACCGTAGCTTTTCTGCTTTCTTCCAGTTGAAGAGGGCGAAACATCAGACTTTACGCTGAACTGGGACCCGACCGTAACCCAATCAGGTAAGCGCAACCAATTGCTCACAGCACAAGATACATTTTTGGTCTTTACTCTCGATTCCAGCACGGTGACTAGATTGGTTCCATATGGCTAATAAAACCCGAAGACTAATATTGTTCTGTTCTCTGGGGAGCCGAGTGCACTGTACCAAGTTATGACTCTTTCACGCAGAGCAGCTCCAAAGTTGCTTTTTTTTTGTTGCCATGGGCATCATGGCGCTTTCGTTCTGATGTAATTATACAATCATGGGTGTGAATGGGATTTCTCCTTCTCTTTACTCAAGTGTGAATTTGATGCTGTAATACTTTATGGTATCCCACTGCAATGGGTTTCTTTCCTTTCCTTTCCTTTCCTTTCCTTTCCTTTCCTTTTCCTTTTCCTTTTCCTTTTCCTTTTCCTTTTCCTTTTCCTTTCCTTTCCTTTCCTTTTCCTTTTCCTTTTCTCTTCCTTTCCTTTTCCCTTCTTCCTTCCCCTTCCCTTCCCCTCCCTCTTCCTTTCCCTTCTTTTCTCTTCCTCCCTTGCCTCCCTTCCACTCTCCTTCCCTCATCCCCCCTCTCTCTCCCTCCTTCCTTCCCTTCCTTCTTCCCTCCCCTCCCTCCCTTTTTCCTTAAGATGGTTGGATTTCCAAATCATGTTAACCTATTTTTAATCTAACCATGGGGTAAATAAAACCCAGTTAACTAGAGTCACATAACAAGCTAACTCACAATATTTTAAGTACAACCCCCCCACACACCCCCACACCTTTGATGGTAGTTTTGAATGATTCAGAATGGATCAGATCAAAAGGATGTGGTTTAAGCAGGCGGAAGTATTTTCTTCCCCCCCCCAGAGGTCAACAGAGAAAGGCCAGGGGGGATGATGTTGGTTTGGGCCAGGGCATGAAATGAAAAGCAAAAGGTGGTTATTCCATCTTTGATTGAAATTCTACATTACTTGACTGGTTAACCTAACCCTAACCTGTAACATGTTTGCTTCGGTTTGAGTTTGCTCCGTGTTGGAGCAAACCTAAAACTGGTGTTGTAAAATTAACTTCATGTATTTATAAAGAAGTTAAATGAAGCCTCAGCCATCTGTGTTTACTTTTCTGGCGCTGAATTTACACCGCAATACTCTGAACACACACCCTATCACTCAAGTCGGTATTTAAAATAATTAAACGGTATCCAACGAAGCGGGGAAGAAAACGGGGAAGAGCACAGAAATCCTTAACATGAAATACTTAATCTTTATGATATTGTTTAGTTTTCTCTCTAGAACTTTTATTATGAGTCTTGGCTGGCTGTGGAATGCATGCAGGTAGTCCAGCACTGGGCATTTGTCAGAAGCATTTGTCTATTCCACCATAGCTATTTTACTCAACAAATGTAGCAAACCCATTGCACTGCTTATTCCTTTCCTTTTTGGTATTAAACTGACTACGGGGCCACACAGTTTATGGATTGCAATTTTAATATAGTTGGAATAGAATAGAAAAACAGACTTGGAAGGGACCTGGGGGGGGTGTCGTTTAGTTCAGGGGTTACCAACCTTTTGGACCTCAGGGACCACCAAACTCATAATTTTAAATCCTGTGGACCACTAATATGAATGTTGACTGACGGTGGCTTGCTGACGTTGGTGGGAAAGTCAGTTTAGTTTTAGTCTCCAGTCTCCTAATCATCCTGGTTGCTCTTTTCTGCACTTTTTCTAGAGTCTCAATCTCTTTTTTTTAATTGTGTGGGGACCAAAACTGGATGCAGTACTCTAGGTAGGGTCTTGCTAAAGCTTTATAGTGTGGTATTAGTACTTCACTTGATCTTGATTGTATCCCTCTGTTAATGCAATTTAGGATTGCATTGGCTTTTCAGGTTCGTTTGCTTCCTTTCGTCTCCTCATCTGATGGCCCCTCTTGAGGACCTCAACATCTTCCATACTTCGCAGGGACTCTCGCAATCTCCACGGTCCTCCGTGCAGATTTTAGAACTCCCGCTATACCTAGCTCCTTTTTAAGAAATGGAGATTGTTCCGAACAATGATGAAAAGGATTGCCTTTTTGGTTTTACCTTTAATAATAATAATAAAAAAAAAACACAGCCCTGTTGTACTAAAAGAGTTAAGCTTTGCTTTTCATCTCATGTTCCAAAGCCCCCAGAGGGACATTGTCTTTCGCCTGTAAGAGATTACTTCCTCTGACTGCCTTTGAGTTCATATCTGGGCAAACCCAACAGAAAAGCAGAATGTTTTTTTCTTTTGAATGGTTAAGCTGCGAGCTGAAGTGACAGGAAGTCTCCGGGGATTCAAGACTGACATCCCGTGGCTGTCTCACCTTCAGGATATGGAGAACTCCATATATATATATATATATGTGTGTGTGTGTGTGTGTGTGTGTGTGTGTGTGTCCTCCAGCCAATCAGAACACGGCCAAACCCCCAACCAATCAGAACACAGCCAAACCCCCAACCAATCAGAACACACCCACACCCAAGCAGAACACAGCCAAGCCCCCACCCAATCAAGTCACACACCCTCTAGCAGTTAAAAGGAAGAAGCAGCTGCAAGCTCACATTACTCTGAGAAGCACAGAGCCAAAGACACAAGCCTGAAGATGATGAATGAGACTTCATCGAAATGTTGCCTAGATACTTCCAATCTTACACGGGAGAAAACCCGAATGACCAAAGCTCCACATACAAATACCCGCGAGAACCTCAGAAACACACACACACACACACACACACACACACACATACTCAGCAGAGGGTTGGGGGGTCTCTTCCAACTCTATTATGTTATGTTCTATGTAGTGATGATTTAAACAGAGTTCAGGGCTCAGTTATTTGCAGGTTTCCTGGTAAACCAGGAGCTGAAGATTGAGGGACCATCTAGAAATCTACATTGAGATGATGATTAGCTACCAAGGAAGAGTGGAAAAAGAGACAGTGGTCCTTCCATTCATTTAAATTCACCCCTCTCCAAATAGGGTAAAACCTTTTAGCTATTTTGATGACATCACCAGATGGTCTCCTATGGACCAACCAAAGGTGTGAGGGACAAATTATGAAGTTGTCTACCTTACCTGAAAAACATGGCCTACATATCCTAAAAATGGAGCATACACATCACCCTTAACCAGAACTAAAGCAGCAATGTTGTGACTTAATGCACTAATGTGAAGTCAGGAAATGGTGTCTTATTTAGCAATTTGTGGCTTTATGCCATGGGAGAAGTTGGCTGCTGATTAACACCCTATAATGATTTGGGGATTTGGATGTGAACCAGGTCTGATTGTTTCCTTCTTTTGCAACTTGGGTGGAAAGAGTGAAGACAGTTTTGGTTTGAAATCATACTATGAATTCAGTTATAGTATTAGTAATACTTTGTCACTATAGTTTGTATTTGTATCTAGGAAGTAACCTGAAACAACACTTTTCTATTTTGTATTTTTTAAAAATTTCTCTTGTTTGTAGCTGGTTGTTGACCAAAATAAAAACTGACTACAATATTTTTTAAGTGAACTAATAAAATCTCAAAACTAAAACTAAAAAAGGAAGTAAAAGAATATTGGGAAAAAAACAAGCTTTTGATATGCATCCAGACTGAGATAGAGACCAAGTTTTTAAGAGAAGTAAAAACATTTTGAACATCCCTATTAAATATTATTTTCCAGTGGGACATTTACACCAATGAAGAAACTTTATCGGAATAAAAACGTGTTGCAATATCTAACCCTGTCTGAATGCATTTTTCTTTTATTGTAGCATTCTTTTCAAAAAACGGCCTATTACATTTGCAGCCAGACTAATTTCCTGCACTTTCAGATTACCTTAGTCCAAGCAAAATTGTATTTTAGTTTTTCAGGCTTTTTGTTAAAGCCAACCTGTCAATTAGTAAAATGAAGCAAATCTGTTTCTTATAAATTGGCAATTTTTCTGGACGATAAACCAAAACCCAGTCAGATTCACACCTGGTGTCCAAAAAGTCAAAATGGTTATTTGCAGTCTGTGTGCAATGGATGTAAAAAAAAAAAGGTGAGCTTGACATAATCACTACCACCATCTTGTTTTTTTGTGATTTCATCTTCTGCAGTAGTTACGATCATTATCCAAGCATTTGGGTTGATTTCCCAATTTCCTGAAAACTTTGCATCCAAAGGATGGAGTAATTGTGTCTCGCCACTAATTTGTTTACAACTCCATCAATGCACTCTAGGAAGGAGTCAATTTCTACGGTATAATTTTAGCCAATTTTATTTGATGGATTTTTCTTCACAGTCAGTTCTTGATAACTTTCTGGAATACATTTAACAAGAATTATTAGGTAACAATCTCCCTTTTTAAATTCTTCATGGCCTGAATTCAAGCATTGTGCCAAACTATCGTTTGCTGAATTAGCCGTCGTTTACGGGATTCACGTAACACTAATTCATGGTTTATAAATCCAAGGGGATTCCTGTAATACTAATTCATGGCTTATAAGTCTGAATCATGAAGAAATCGCATTCAGGGTTATCAATTGTCATGAATGCTCGGAAATGAGTGTTGAGATCCGGCAGTTAGTTCTTAATCATGCAGGAAAGGATCCAGTCTGTATTTTTTCCAAAGGAGATTATCTGATTATCCTGTTGAGTTTGGGGGCTGCTGGGTTCCTTGAATAATAATTGCAAGAGTCATTTAGGGTTGGAAAAAAAATGGGGGAGCTGAGAATGGAAGGCAATGCCTAATTGGTCAAAGCAATATGAATCTGAGAAGCACACATTTTGCAAATCTGGGCTTCTGGCTCAAAGAATGAGCTACTTTCATTCCACAGTGATGGGAAACATCTTTTTTTTTTTTTGCTCATCCTCTTCATGTGCACAGAAAAGCAGGGAAATTAGTATTGCAAGTGGAACTCTGACTGTTGTGATTGGTAGATGCAACTTTCAGAGTTAGTTTTTGAGAAGGGACAGAAATTAAGCAATATATACGGTCTCTCTCCCTCCCTCCCTCTCTCTCCTGGCACCTACTTTCTTTCCAATTTTTTC